GGGCAACAGAGTGAGATTCTAACTCAAAAAAAAAGAAAGGGATTGGCAGTAACGGGATACTGTCTTGGACAGGGGGAGTAGGGGGAACACAGCATCAATAAGGTACCTGATCTCAAACCAGGCAAAGTGGGGCCAAAGGGAGGCCCAAACTTTACCTGTACAATGACCACTTGTATACCTAATCCTGAATTGTATCACACATCTTTAAAATTAAAAAATTATATACTTATTCCTTGCCTTTAAAATAGGCACAATAATACCTACTTTCCATACCTGCTGTAAAGACCTGAGATGATGTTTGTAGAATGCTGACCATAAGAATTAGCAGGTCATAAGCACTGAGATTTGTGGGTTCAAAAGTATTATATTGAAATTTTTCTTTCTTTTTTTTTTTTTTGAGTTGGAGTCTCCCTCGGTTGCCCAGACTGGAGTGCAGTGGCTGCTCCCAGCCACCGCAGCCTCGACCTGCTGGGCTCCGGCGATCCTTCCGCCTCAGCCTTCCGAGTAGCTGGAATTACAGGCATGCGCCACCACGCCCAGCTGAGTTTTTTGATTTATTGTAGAGATGAGGTCTCACTGCCCAGGCGGGTCTCGAACCCGCGGGCGAGGTAATCCACTCACCTCAGCCTCCCAAAGGCGCGGGATTACAGGCTGAGCCACCGAGCCCGGCGAAATTTTTCTTTTGAATCAGATTTTCAGAACAAGCTATGTATGTATGTTATTTATTTATTTATTCATTTATTTAGAGATAAGTTCTCACCAAGTTGCCCAGGCTGGTCTCAAACCCACGGGCTCAGGCAATCCTCTCATCTCGGCCTCCCAAAGTGCTGGGATTATAGGTGTGAGCCACCGTGCTTGGCCTGCATGTTATTTTCTATTTATTTCTCTCCCAGCAGGAAACATAATTTAGATTAGACTTTGTGCCTTTCCAGTCCAGGTTTTTAGCCTGCATTTTTATCTATTGAACTACCCTTTCGATGCCCTCACAGAGACCAGCATTCCCACTGTTCCCTGTCTCCATCCGATGGATTTCACAATCGCAACTCACAACCAAGATGCTTCACAAGATGAGTGCCCTCAGGTCCCTTTTAGATATGATTTCCACCAATGGTCTTAAACTTTAGCATGAAGTGCTGGTTAAATTGCAGATTCTTGGGTACCATTCCCAGAAATTCTGATCCAGCAGGTCTGGAATCCTAGAAATTCTCCAGTGATGCTGAGACTGCTGGTCCAAGGACCAGGCTAGAGTAGCACTGGTTTACACAGACAAGATGAAGTGGGCTTAGGTGATTTCAATCAGTGTCCAACAACTCTTACCAAACAACTCGCTGATAACAGGTTTATCAATAAAAGCAGAAAATAGTTGCCTTGCTATTACACTAAATAAGCAGACTCTAGGGCCACAGCAACTATAATAGTCAGTGTGCACTGAGTTGGACAATATGCAACACTTTTTCCGAAAACTTTCACATATATTAAACTTATTTGTACATTCTTTTTGTCAGTCTTTAAAAACTAATAATAGCATCCTCTATGACCATCTTATACTGGCATTCAAATTAATTGCCCTCATTTTTGTTTGTGCCCAAGATCTCATTCATAGCAAGAAGAAGGATTTATTTGTCTAGAGTGATGAGGAAATAGCAAAGGTGAGCTTCATATGTACGAGATGTATCCAGCCAGGGGATGGCCAGGCAGAGCACTGGGTGGACCAAAGTGTGGGAGAGTCCATCGTCTGAACAGAGAGAAGCAGTGGAGAACGGAAACCGCCTACAACAGTGGCAAAGGCAACCCAAACTCAAGGGACCTGAGTTTCAGTAAGACTTGAGCAGCAAAGCCACATCCTCGAATACACCTTATTATGTTATTGGTGTTGTCATTTTGTTTCTATGTAATTTTGTAAATTTGTTTCTGTTCTTTTGTTGTAGAGAAATCTTTTGTTGTATTTATATATATATATATATATATAAAAAGCATAAGCAGTTTGACAAAAGCAATTTAAGCCAATATCAGAAGCACCCAAGAAACAGCTTCCCTCAAGGAAGTCCCAAACGTAGCTCAAGTTTAAGGAACTCTATATTGTTATCATACTTTTAGTTATTTACTTTTAACTATCTCAGCAGTTCTCAGCTGAGAGATTTTGCACACTCCCCTCTAGGGGACAAATAGCAATGTCTGCAGACACTTCTGGTTGTCACAACTGGGGGGTGTTGCCAACATCTAAAGGGCAGAAACCAGGGACGCCGTGGCTAATCATCCCCTGGTATATATGATATCCCCTCACATCCAAGAGTTATTCAGCCTAAGATGTCAATAAAGTTGTTTTAGAAACCCTGGTCTATCTTTCTCTCTCATCAATTCACAGTACTAGGAGGGGCTAACTGAAATATAGATACTTTTTTAACTTGTGAAATTCACAAACTTAGGCAGAAGACTAAGCACACAGACATGAAATAATTAGAATATTATAAAAGATGGCGCTACAGATTCAGAGGGTTTAGATTAGGACCATTTCCCATAGAATGCAGATGTTTCCTGTATGGGGACTCAAGCCTCTTCATCTGATCTCTTTCTGAATTCCTATAATGAAGAGTTCATCCATTAATACCCGAGGCAGGAAGCCAATCTCACTGTTAGAACAATTTCATGATAGTGTTAGGAAATAAAATCTTGAATTAAGCCTCAAAACACGCCATCCTGGCCAGGCTCGGTGGCTCAGCCTGTAATCCCAGCACTTTGGGAGGCCGAGGCAAGTGGATTGCCTGAGCCCACGGGTTTGAGACCAGCCCAGGAAACTTGGCGAGACCTCATCTCTACAGTAAATCAAAAATTAGTCGGGCATAGTGGCGCACACGTGTAGTTCCAACTACTTGGAAGGCTGAGGCGGAAGGCTCTCCAGAGCCCAGCTGGTTGAGGCTGCAGTGGCTGGGAGCATGCCACTGCACTCCAGTCTGGGCGACAGAGTGAGATTCCAACTCAAAACAAAACAAAACAAAACAAGAAAAACACGCCATCCTGTAGGCTTCATCTTTGGGTCCAAACATTGCCCTCCAGAGTAACAGCCCAGTGGTTTCCTGAGGAGGGCCAGTACAAAGTTAGCTCTCCCTCTTCTGTGTAGGTAGACTGTTGGTTTCTCAAATCTGCCTCTAGGATGCGTATTTCTGTTTATCTGAATCCAAGTTACAGGCTTGTGGTTTTGAAAATTGGAATTGCACTTTTCTGACCAACCAACAATTCCCTCCTTAGTCCAACTCTCATTTTTCTGATCTATGACATAAGCAGGTCTCCACCTTCATAACTCTGCCAGCTCAAAAATAAAACTACTGTCATTTGATAGAAGGATTGAAGAGTAATGTTTACTTTTTGTCATTTGGAGGTGGGGAAGAATTCAGTATTGCAAAACACTGAATGCACTTTTACAAAGTAGAGTTTTTAAAAATATATTGGCTGACTAATTAAGTAAGTACAGGCGAGGAACATGGATTGACATTAGGTCATTCAGGAGACTTTTGTTCTCTGCTTCCTCTGTACCTGGCACTGTGCTGGGTGCTCTGAGTAGCAGTCGAGGTGGAGAAGACACAGTCTATAACTTCAAAGAATGCATACGTTCATTTACCTATAAAAACTTGATTCTCCTATCATTCTCAGCGTTCTATCACAGAAACAGAGAACAGACTACTGTATGTTCTCACTTATAAGCGGACCTTGAACAATTATCATAATACTATAAGAAAGGAATTGGCAGTAGTGGGAAACTGCCAGGGGAGGGGGTGTGGGATTGGCAGTTGAGGGAAACTGCCAGTGGAGGGGGGCATACCTCATGAACAAGGGTACCTGCATAAAGAACACTTGTATACCTAACCCTGAATTGTATCCCCCATCTTTAAAATAAAAAAAAGTTTAAAAAAAAAAAACCAAAAACTTGAATCTCTACAAAAAGGTTAAGGACATTTCAAAGACTACAAATGAAATCTTTTAGAATTTCTTTATAGATTGCTTTGGTTTTTAAAGTTGTTCATATATACTTCTTTTTTTTTAAATCTGTCTGTATCATACCCGTTTGTTTTGGGGGGGTTTTTTTTTTTACTAATATGGTTGTACACAATCTGATCATTTGAACTTTCAAAGATTTGAAGTGTCCTTGAACCATTCTTCTGTGATGGGTCCTCTGTTCGTTTTGGTGGCAATTGTTGGCATATGGGAACTCCAGTTAGACACACCATCCAAGAGTTTCCACTCAAGAGATAGTCCATATTCGGCTTCCCATGTCCCAGAGGCCAGCAGAGTGCCTAACACATGTTAGGTTTCCAGAAACATTTGAACAAACAAATACAGTAATAAGTAGATGAACTTATTAGTCCACTCCGTTCTTTCCTCTGAAATTTTACAAACTTATTATCTGTTCCCTCTTTGAGAGAGTAATCACATAGGACTTTGCGTTGAGTCTCTTTCCTATTCCATGTGTTATATTTTATCCATTCTAAATGAACTACAATTTTGTTATAATTTCCCCTAGAACACATATCAGACCTATGTTCCTGCTAAATGAAAATTCATTGAATATAAGCTATTACTACCTCCTTATTTCTTTCCCTCTATTTCTTCCTCTTTCTCAATGAACTAAAGTACCTGAAAATATATCTGAAAATATTTATTGAATAAAAGTCTTATTCTTCTTGATCTTAATTTTAACAGAGGGGCACTCAACAGTTTTTTTTCTTTTTTTTTAAATAAAAAGCAAAACCCAAAACTAATTCAACTTAACCCTAAATTCCCTTTAACTATGTGTGAGGTTAGGAATAGAAAAAGGTTTCTTATATCTAAGCTAAGTACTCTAACAGGCTTTTACTAGAGATCTGTGGACACCCAATAGAGGTAAGGAGGCAGGAGAGGGCAGGGACCGGGGAGGAGAAAATGGGAAATCAGCTGGGAAGAGGGAGCAGGGATTTCAACTATAAACAGAGAGCCTCAACAAGGAGAAAACTGCCAAAGATGCTCACCTTTGCACCCCTCGCAGGTCAGTGCATTGTAGTGGTATCCAGATGCCCTGTCTCCACAGACAACACACAGCTCATCCCCTTTGATCCTCCCAGCAGACGTGCCCATCCGGGGCTTCTTGGTGACGGGCATCTCTGCTACCTCCACCTCTGCCTGATAGAGAGCCTCCGCTGGCATGCGCCTGAGCTCGTATATTCCAGGAGAGTACCACTCTTCAGGCTGCTGGGGGTAGAAGCCCAGGTTGGAATAATAGGGTGATGAGGAAATCTGTGGTTGAACTTGGGGAAACTGAGCATTGTTGTATTGTGAGTACGGTTCCACTTCTGGATTCTGTCCCAGGGGACCTGCCACTTGTTCTGTTAGTACACCTGAACAAAAGTGACAAACAAACTGGAATTAATGTCATCATTCTAAAAATTAAAGAGGCAGTTTAGCATAATGGTTAGGAAGCATGGGCTCTAAGGAAAAGACTAAAATGTTTGCATAAAAATTGACAACTTTTGAACAGCATATATATTATATAACTAAATGACAAATTATAAGCTCAGAAAAATATCTGCAACATAGAAGACAGACCAAAGACTCATATCATTAATATATAAAAAGCTCTTGCAAACAAATAAGAAAGCATTCGATGACCCATGGAAAAAAGAAGAACACGAATGGGCAGTTTTTAGAAGTATAAACACAAATGTTTCATAAACATACAAAAATGTTCTCACCCTTGTCAATAATTAAATTCAGACTAAAACTGCAATATGATAGTTTTCATACTCAAATGTATAAAGGTTTTAAAACTTTGATAATGCATGCTGTTGAGAAAACAAATTTTTTTTTTTTTTTTAGTTGGAGTCTCACTGTTGCCCAGACTGGAGTGCAGTGGCCACTCCCAGCCACCGCATCCTCGACCTGCTGGGCTCTGGTGATCCTTCTGCCTCAGCCTTCCAAGTAGCTGGAACTACAGGCGCACGCTACCACGCCCGGCTAATTTTGAGAAAACAAATATTTTTAGAGGGCATTTTGTCAATATCTTCTGGTATTTAAAACTTGAACGCCCTTTTAACACAGCATAAACTTTTCACTGCTAGAAAATTTATTTTAGAGATATGCCTGAACCTGTATGAAAAAATGTTTTTGTAAAGATATTCATTTGCAGCAACTTTGTAAGAAAAACAACTTGGAAAAACTCTAAATATCCATTCATAGGAGTCTAGTTAAGTAAATGTGTTATATCCATACACTGAAATATTACGTATATGAGAAGCAATTATTTAGATCTCTATGTGCTAATATGGAAAGGTTTCTACAACATGATGCTATTTGAAAAAAGTGAGCTATATAATACAATGTGTATATTCACATGGGTATTACAAAAAACAGTGTGAGTGTGTGTATGTGTTTGTCCAAAGTAACTGTTTGCATGATACAAAAGAAACTAAATGGTGGTTGAGTGTGAGAATGACATTATTACAATATTTTCTGGGGTAGGAGGTTGAACAGTTTTTTACTGTGTATAATTTTTGTCATGTGCATGTGTTCTTTTATAATAAAAAAAAGAAGGAATTTTTGAAAAAGCTCAGTACCTGGGATCTGTCTACCTGGATTCAAATTCCTGCTCTGTTACTTACTATCTGTGTGCAGCTGGTAATGTAATCAACATCTTTAAGTCAAGTTTTCTTTTCATAAAGCAGGGAATAATAACGTCTACTTCACTGGATTGATATAGGGATTGCATGAGACAATGCATGCCAAGTGCTTTGCTAAATGTTTGGCACACAAGAAGCGCTCCATGAATTATAACTGACGTTGAATAATAATTATTATTACTACTGCCATTATTATTAAAGGAATTCCTTATTTGGAAAACCTCCAGGTAACAGAAAACTGTCAGGTTATAAAAATGCTTCTATTTCCTGGAAACATTAACTATGGCTCCTTAGAAAATAGAAATATTCAAATTATGCAGAACACTAAAAAATTTAATAGACATAAATAAAATTTAATAGACACAAAAGTGTGCAGATGTGTCTGGTTCCTCAAAGCATTGTCAGACAACCCTGGACCAAAATTCCAACTCTTATGAACAGTGGGACTTTGAGCAAATTACCCAAACTATTGATGAGCCCCAGTTTTTACAGCAGCAACTTTACAATGAAAACTTCTATAGCAGCCGAGCTCGGTGACTCAGCCTGTAATCCCGCGCCTTTGGAAGGCTGAGGTGAGTGAATTGCCTCAGCCCGTGGGTTCGAGACCCGCCTGGGCAACTTGGCGAGACCTCATCTCTACAATAAATTAAAATGAGCCGGGCATGGTAGCGCGCATCTGTAGTTCCAGCTACTTGGAAGGCTGAGGCGGAAGGATCACCGGAGCCCAGAGGGTCGAGGCTGCGGTGGCCGGGAGCGGCCACTGCACTCCAGTCTGGTTGACAGAGTGAGACTCCAAGTCAAAAAAAAAGATAATATCTATAACAGGCAACCCCTTCAGGTCCTCTCCCACTGTGGGGGTTATTCTGTCCTCTCAATAAATCCTGCTTTCAAAAAATAAGATAAAAAAATCTATAGCAAGGGCAATGTGGAGAATTGAGTGAGATAATACAGATTCCCAGAGCATCATCTGAACCCTGTGAAGTCACATGTGTTCTGGGATGCAGAATTTTATGAAGTTTAGACCAGAATGCAGTGCAATTTACATGTTATATAACACTCCCAGAACAGGCTGGAACAGAACCCATGATCAAACACAGCAACATTTTTCCACAGTGAAATACATGAATATTCACACTAAGTGCAATAAATAAAAACCTTAAATAGTTTCGCATCCATTCAGGTCAGGTTCTGCCACCAAAAGAGTTTTTGCCAAACGTTTTAGAAAAACACTGGTTTTTCAGGGCTTTCGGAATCTGGAATTGGTGCTTGGGATCGTGGACCTCTAAGTGCACACGTGAAGAGTGAATGCTTTTTGTAGTGCTTCTAAGATGGCTGATACTGTCCTCATAATTGTCACTATTCCATTTTTGGTAGAAAGCTTTTATTGAGTTCTTCTTAGTGTCTGGCACTTGTGTATTCTCATTTATTTCTCACAAAATCCTATGAGGTAGGGAATATCATTAGCGCCTGCTTACAGCTGAGTGCTCTTGGAGCCCAGAGAAGTTTAGCAACTTCTCTCTTCCTACTTGAGTAGCTGACATTTGAACCATGGGAATTTCACCTCAAAGCCCACGTGCTGGATCCCTGCTCCGGGTTAATTTCAGACACGTGATGCTTCAAAAACACGATGGTCAAAGCCTTTCTCATCCTCGTCTGCCTGCACTTGCACCTGAGTTCCTCCCTCGACAGCCTCTGCTTGTGGCCTGCGAGGCTCTGCACAACCGTGCCCCGCCCTTCTTTCCCAGTCATTGCCACCAAGAACTTCTTCTTACGAATCTCCACTCAACTCTGAATCTCCCTGTAGGTACTGTTTCTCTTGGGAAGTTTCCCTGAGAGAAGAGGTCCCTCGGTCCCTAGGAGTCACAGTTCCGAAACGAGACATGCAGTGTTCAAAAACCATCTCTTACCATCCGCCATGGGCCTCTCCTTTGCTTATCTAAGAGAAGTTTCCATGCTAGATGATCTTCTAGTTCTGCTTTACAACCAAAAGCTCCATCATATATGACTAGCAGTTTATGAACATTCCATTTATGAATGCTAGAACTCATTGCTTTTCTGCAATGCAAAGTGGAGTCAACACATACTAAATGTTGTTGAAAAGAATTATTTCTGCTTTTGACCCAGAAAATGATTGACAGAGCACACAGGATACAGTATCTGTCCAAAACTCAATCTCCCTTTTCATGGCTGGTTTATCCATATCAAGCCTCCCCCAAAATCAGTATATCTAACGGACAAAAAAAATTTTGAGGCAGTTGACGGAAACTGCTAGGGGAGGGAGGGGCACACCTCATCAACAAGGGTACCTGCACAATCAGAGTTTGTATACCTAACCCTGAATTGTACCCCACATCTTTAAAATAAAAATAACAACAATAACAGTAATGCATTTTTGAAATGGTGCTTTGTCTTATGACCACAAAATGGAAGAAATTGTTACACACAAAGAAGAAACATAAGCAAAATCCGAATCTGTTTCATCACTTATTTCTTAAGTGAACAGGACTGAAAAGAACTAAAACGTGTTAAAGCATTCATTTCACTTACATCTAGCTTTTTTTTTTTTTTTTTTTCTTGAGTTGGAGTCTCACTCTGCCGCTCCCGGCCACCGCAGCCTCGACCTGCTGGACTCTGGCGATCCTTCCGCCTCAGTCTTCCAAGGAGCTGGAACTACAGGTGTGCGTTACCACACCAGGCTAATTTTTTGATTTATTGTAGAGATGAGGTCTCGCCAAGTTGCCCAGGTGGGTCTCAAACCCGCGGACTCAGGCAATCCACTCACCTCGGCCTCCCAAAGCGTGGGATTCCAGGCTGAGCCACCGAGCCTGGCCTACATTTAATCCTTTGGCCTATCTTACTCCCTTAATGCCTCGCTCCCCCAGTGTCTCACTGCCACAGGCCTGAAGTAACTTGCCCAAGGTCAAACAGCCAACGGAATCTGGATTCCGTAGAATCCAAGGAAATGTGTAAGTTTTTTCTCCTCACATGACAATTCCAAGATCCTGAGCATTATTTCAACAAAACAATTATTTTCATAATCAAGAAACAAAATAGAGTCTGACTCAAGAAGGATAATATCAATGTTATTTTACTCTTCACTCTCCACAGTCACCTAGATTAAAATGGAAAACTTCACAAAGATACAGATAGTTCATATACATATAGCTTATGCTAAAACAATAAAATATGGCCCAAAATGTGAGAATGGTGTCCACTAATGTTAAATAATGCCTCTATTCTCAAAGCACATCCACTTCTAGGATTTCACAGTGTGTTCCCCCAGGTCTCCATCAAGTAGACAGGTCGATACGGGCACCTTATAACCAAGGAACTGGCATGACCAACATAGAAAATACTGTTGAGTATAAAATATGGTTGTTGAGAAAATGTTTTTGTAGGCTCCTGATTTTGATAATAGTTAACTGATAGTTAATAAGTAATTATTAACACAGAGTCGGTCTTGATGATAGAGGTGCCAGAATAGTTCTTTCAACATAAACATATCGCTATAAGCACTTGCTATTTACAGATATATTACTACTTTATGTATTTATTACATATATGCAAACACTTGCTATTTGGCAGACATGGTGTCAGGCTCAAAGAATACAACAATGAACAAGACATCTGAGGTCCCAGGCTTTCTCTTGTTTGAGTGTTTGGGGAGGGGCATGTCTAGGGACGGACAAAATCAAGTCAGCAAGTGCAAAATTATCGGATAGAGAATAAGATGTGGAGAGGATAGAAGAAGGTAAACTTTATAGCGTATGCTTTCTGAAAAGGTAAATGTAGCTCTAGTTGAGTAAAATTTAAAGTGACAATGCATATTAAGATTTGGACTTATGAGGTCTTTGGTTGGTTTGTTTTTTAGCATCATTCTATCATGGAGTATGAGAATTTAGACTCTTTTATGGCAGGAAATTTTCCACAAGAGTTTGGGAAAGAGTTCTTAAATGGGAACAAATTAATGGACTCCAGGAGAGTCTGGGAATACCTGCAAAGAAAGAAAATCCTTCTGGACAGAGGGTCTCTAGCTTTCAGTAGATTCTCTAAAGAAGTGCCGTCTACGGGAACTTTCTGAGATGACAGAAGGTTCTATGCCTCTACCCATATGGGAGCCCTAACCACACGGGATGAGAATCTCTGAAATGTGACTAAGTGATACTGAGGAATCAAATTTTGAATTTTATTGACTTCTTAACTAAAATGTAGAGTTAAATATTAGACAGTGTGGCTCTGAGGCATTTAATGGTTATTGTTGAACCGAAGTTCCGGCCTTCCTTTCTCTCCTAGTGCGCAGTTTCCTGACTAGGTGACAGGCTCCCCTTGTGGAGTTGCCCGCTGTACCTGGCACCAGGCCTGTGTGACGTGGTCCCTGTCCCTGCCCTGTCAGCTGATCAGCAACTCTGGGAGGACTGCCCCAGCACTTCAAGTGGAATTAATCTCTCCTACCTCTGTACACACCTCTACTACGGCACTTATCAGAAGCAGGTCCAGTCGTTTTTGTTTATTTACAGGCTTATCTTCTATGCTAAACCTGAGGTGGTGTGAGACTACTCAAGAGTGCCCTACTGAGCAGACAAGTCTGGACTCAGTCCACTCGCAACTTGCTAGGTATATGAACTTGGGAAAGACACTGAACTTCTTTCAGCTGTATACGTATTTGTAAACACTTACACATACATATGTAGGTACTTTATAAAGCTGGAATGATATCGTACCTATGTGAGAACTATGATAAGGGTGAACTGTGACGAAGAATGCCAGCTGCACAGTGGCCAACACAACATAGACATTCAACATTGTCATTGTTTAGTCAGTCTGTGACCTCCTTTGGGGAAAATATTAGACTCCATTCCCTTCTTTTCATTTCCGGCATCTAACACAAGGCCTGCCACGAAGTCAATGTTTACTAAATGTTTGCTAAATTGAAGTGAATGGAAAATTTGCTTCCCAAACTTTCAACCAGTTTCCGTTTTGCATACGGTGTTGGTCACTTTTAAACATCACATTTAAACAAACTATTGTGCTACCACATCTATGACAAAAAAAAAAAAGATATGTTGACAATTGCAATGACTGTAAAAATAATTCGTTTTTTTTTGCTGGAAGTTTAAAAGGCGAGTTTCTGTTTTGAGAAAAATATTAAAATAGTATTTTTATGTGTGCTGTGTTTTAATTATGATCTATGTTTTAATTCAGGGAAAACCAATAGCCTAAGCCTAAAGCCTAGCTCTTTCCTCATCTGATTTACCACAGATTATTTGGAGAAATCTGCTCAGAAAACAGTTCGTTAAATTTGTTTCTCAACCTCTTTTTTATTTATTTATTTATTTTTTACCACAATCCATAGTCTGAGGTACATTTTACATCATGAGGCCATACACAGTTACACATACATAACTGATAATAACACATGCCTTTACTTCTTGTGTGGAGCTCTGGTATTTCCATTCTCTTATGTTCTATTCCAGTTTTTAATGCTGCTTCTAGCCACTAATAGATTCCATCATTCCCTAGGATCTGAGGCTTGCCATTTTAAAAACACTGCCTTAAATAACGTATGTTAATATGGTTTTTCAAGTGTCCATTGACATTCATGCTAGAACTGTCTTACTTTGGACTTGAAAGAATGGTGCTAATTTGACATAATATTCCATGAAGTTAGGGAAAACATCCCAATAAGACACTTGCCTACTTAGAACCCTATGAAAATTATCCCACCCAATATCCCACGCTAGCCTTCCGGCCTGGCTGAGCCGTCTCTGACAGAGTTGCTAGCATCTCCAACAAAAGTTGCCCACGTTTTGTCAGTCCAGCTGCAAAAGCTCGAGCCAAGAGCAACTGTGAACAGTGTCCTACCTTTAGTGGGCTTCAAGCTCATCGTGTCCGTGAGAAATGCTGGTGGTGTGCAGCTGTGATGAAGACTACTCTGAATTGGATTTTCTAGCCCCTGAAACTGCATTACCATTCTTAGCTCACTCACAGCAACTGAAAATGGGACTAAGTAAGGAGTGAGAGAGGCCAGAGGTTGTGTGGCTTACTGATTAACTTCATTACAGAGCAGAATATTTGTAAATGTTTATGAGAAAAGTCCTCGATGCCAAATTACCTAGTAAGCTGGAAACCAGTCTCTTAGCTAAACATTTTCGGGGAGCACTTTTCCAGTTTAAGAACTTTTAGAGAGTAGATTTCTGTTTGGTGGCTCTAAAACTGGGTTTGGAGGTCAAATATCAAGCTCTAGGTCTTAACATTTGCTCCTATCAAAAGGCTGCATAAAGATATGATTTTATAATGTTAGCAAGTATTCAAACATAATGTTTAACAGAGCGAGGTTGGTAGCCAACCGACCTGGCCAACTGTTGGATCCAGGTTATAGGTTGATTTATGCCCCCTACAAATTAACACAGATGCTCCTTGACTTACAATGGCGGGGACACATTCCCATAAATTTGTCCTAAGTTAAAAATACATTGGAGCCGGGCTCGGTGGCTCAGCCTGTAATCCCGCGCCTTTGGGAGGCTGAGGTGAGTGGATTGCCTGAGCCCGCGGGTTCGTGACCCGCCTGGGCAGCGAGACCTCATCTCTACAATAAATCAAAAAATCAGCCGGGCGTGGTAGCGCATGCCTGTAGTTCCGGCTACTCGGAAGGCTGAGGCGGAAGGATCGCCGGAGCCCAGCAGGTCGAGGCTGTGGTGGCCCGGGAGCGGCCACTGCACTCCAGTCTGGGCGACAGAGTGAGACTCCAACTCAAAAAAAAAAATACATTGGATACACCTAGCATACCAAACATCATGCTTAGTTCAATCTAGCTTAAACATGGTCAAAACGCGTACAGAGCCTACAGTTGGGCAACATCGTCTAACACAATGCCTACTTTATAATAAAGCGTTGACTGTCTCATGTAATATACTGAAAACTATGCTAAAAGCAAATCTCTTTTGCACCATCATAAAGTCTGAAAATCATATTGAACCACTGTAAGTTGAGGATGTATATATGTTGAAGTCTTAAACTCGAAACTCAGAATGAGACTTTATTTGGAAATAGGGTTATCACAGAGGAAATCAAATTAAAATGAGGATTAGGGTGGGCCTTCATTTAATACGACTCATACCCTTATAAAAGCAGGGAATTTAGACACAGAGCCAGACACACACGGGGAAAAGTTGATGTGAAGAGACACAGAGAGAAGACGGCCATCGACTGGCCAAGGAGAGAGGCCTGGGGCAGATCCTTTCCTCACAGCATTCAGAGGGAACCAGCCCTGCTGCTAACACCTTGATTTTGGACTGCCAGCTTCCAGAACTGTGAGATCATTTCTGCTTGTTTAAGCCACCCAGTCTGTGGTACTTTGTTATATAGCAGCCTAGCAAACAAATAGCAGGCTCTCTCAAACTTACTAGCACTGTAAGCCATGGACAAATTCCTGAACCATTTTCTGCCCTGATTTCCTCATTTGTAAAATGGATCTGATAATTACACAACCTCACAGAGCTGCCTGCAGATTAAATACTATTTACAAGATGTTTAGCACCATGAGTGGCATTCGTTGTCATTATGTTGATGCCGTGATTGTGTTCAGCTTTAGACCCATGCTGTGGAGCTTGGGTCGCTTACTGAATAGAAGCAATTCCACCTTTTATCCTGCAGCATAACTTCTAGATATCAAGCTTTAGTCTGCTGGCTGTTTTTGAGAGGAAAGAGTTGTAGAAAGGGATTCAGCAGACCCAGGATGGAGCCAGGCATAAGGCAGCCAGACGCACTCTGTAACCCTGGGCAAGTCTTTCGGCTTCTGTGGGCCCCATTTGTCCAAGTTAACAGATGGTAAAACACTGGTAATAATTCCTGCCCTACTTCCCTCATAGGCCTGTTGTGAAGATAAAACGAGATAATAAATTTGAAAGCAATTTTAAAAGGCAAAGGTGATCTACACACATGTGATAATCATTGCAAAGACATTTCTAAAGCCTTCGTCAGCTTATAAAGCAGTTCTGTGTGTACTGCCTCTCTGGATCTTCACGTGCACCCTTTGGGGAACGTGTTGCTTCCGACAGGCGCTATCTCCAATCCTATTTTACAGATGAGGAAAGGCAACTCCATGAGTTTAAGTGATTTGTCTACAGTTGTCCAATTAGTGAGGGATAAAGCTGGGCCTCACCCAGATCTGACTCAAAAGATTTCTGTGGCTGAAAATCCATGGCACACCTGCCCTAATGGACAAGAAAAAGGCAGCATGATGGTCGGTGGGTGTATTTCAGTTTGGATTGTTCAATCCAGGGCTGCTGTTTGTAAAGCTGTTCTCGGTCCTAGTTTACTTCTGGTCTCATTCTCCCTTTCTATAATTGCAGAGCTAGCCTTGCCTCGAGACGATTGTGGGCAGAAGAGCTACCCAAACAATAAGAACCAAGAAAAATGATTTCCAAATGTTCTATTTCAAGAATTCCCCACTGAGTTTTTTTGCGGGTCAAAATAAATGAACCTGTCTGTTGCCCTCAGAAATGTCTATGCTACATGAGATGGGAGCAGGATAATTTAGATGATCCAGGAAACCCTTGTTGTTGAGTGAAATTCAGCCAGAACACAGAAAGTTCTCATAATAGGATTCACTGGATCCCTTTGCTTCTCTCTCAGGTGATCAGCTGCCTCCGTGTTGTTTTTCCTGAAGATCTGTCTTGTGTGAAAGAGTAGCCCTGAGCTACTTAAATTAAACCAGCCGTGGTTCCTCGGTCATACTCGCCCCGTGATGGCTACTATCCTGGACAGAGCAGATCCAGAGCATTTCCTCATTGCAGCAGGCTCTGTTGGACAGCACTGTCGTGGACTGTCCTGGGGAGTATCATGAGTGATTCACAGTGAGGGAAGCATCAGCCACCAAGGCATGATCGAGGGAAGCCCTGGAGCAAAGGCTTACCATGCTTTTCTGAGATCTAGCCTCCAGAAGAGACATGGCCAACAGACTTCAAGCAACAGAATCTCATGGGAAAGACGGTCTCAAGTGAAAAGTGAACAGGAGATTCACTCAACCTGGAGCCTTAAACATTCCATTTTGATTCTTTGTCCTGATTACAATTTGATTGCCTACTTACTGGTTATAGAACCTTAACCAGGTTATTGAACATCATCAAGTATTCATTTTCTCGCCATAAAAAGGAAATAGTAACAGAACCTACCTTGTAGAAGTATTGTGGGAGTTAACAATAGTGCTAATGGAGTATTTACGATGTGCCAGGCATTCTTCTCAGCACTTTGTTAAATAAGTAACTTGCATAGAGTTAAGAAATTTGCCTCATTTTACTTCTAACCTCATCCTCCCTCTCCACAATCCCAGAGCTAGCCTTGCCTTGAGAGGATCGTGGGCATACTAGTAGATGGCAGAGCTGAGAATGAATCCAAGAAGTCTACTCACAAACGTAAAACGTACTTAACACAATGTCTGACACACAGGAAGCACTCAAGAATTGGTAGCTCCTATCATCACAATTGTTTTTATCACTGTAAATTTATAAATTTGCAGTCTGGTTCTCTAGTCAATCCTTCTCAGTTTGTCTGGTTCTCTGATCAATCCTTCTCAAGCCTCTGATCCTGTTTCGTAGACAGCAAGCTTAAGAACTAACGCCTAGACAGCTGTGGAATCACCCAGCTGCAGGCCAAGTTGTCTATACTTGTCTTTGACCCACTGCAGGCCCTCCCCAAACTATGTACTCCCTATCTGAAAGAAACGGTCATCTGTTTTGTAATAAGGAAAGGCTCACTCAATATTTCTTGCCTTCTCTCATTTCTTTATTCCACTAACAAGAGTCCCAGATCTGAGATTCCTTGGGAGAGCAAAAACAAAAGTCACAGTGAATTAAAAACCTTTGAGACAGCTTAGAGTTGTGGTGGAGCCGTAGACAGGAAACAGCCTTGACAAAGTATTTCAAGTATGCCAAAACAACGCTTCATTTTGTCTGAGCCAATGGCATCTTTCCCTCTTTTGGAAACTTTCAGCTTTAATTCACCTCACAAGTCCTGAAAGTCTTTAATTCACTCACCTACATTCACTTGAGTTGAACTCAGTGAGATGGAAAAATACCTGAAATCAAATGTCAGAAATATTCTACAAAACTGCATTTCAAGACTTTTAATTGTATTTTAAAACATCTGACTGATCCTGTAACATCTGGAAGATTCTTTTCCTTTAAGTTAAAGATATAGGGAAGAACCAGGTTCTGTAATGAGTATCTTCGGAAAAAAAACAAACCTCGGCCGGGTTTGGTGGCTCAGCCTGTAATTCTAGCACTTTGGGAGGCTGAGGCAAGTGAACTGACTGAGCCTGCGGGTTCAAGATCAGCCAGGGCAACTTGGCGAGATCTCATCTCTACAATAAACAGAAAATTAGCCAGGCGCTCACTTATAGTTCCGGCTACTTGGAAGGCTGAGGCAGAAGGATCGCCGGAGCCCAGCAGGTTGATGCTGGAGTGGCCACGAGCGTGCCACTGCACTCCAGCCTGGGCGACAGAGTGAGACTCTAACTAAAAAAAAAACACACAAACAACAACAACAACAACAAAAACCTCACCCAGAGAACATGGGCATGACACACTGAGTAAAGTGGTAAACCATGCCAACATCCAAGACACAGGCCAGGAGTGAGGGGGACTGCATGGGGTCATTCTTGCCCCTGCTGGGCTGTATTCAGAATAGGACTGGGGACAGACCAGAAGTTATGATAATAAAAAATAATATAAAGTGTGGATTTCAAAGCTGTTGCCAGCAGTGCTGCAATGCCCAGAGGAGACAGAACACGTGTCACTTCCTTTGGGCACCAGAAATGCACTTATATTTTGCTGATTCTGGTTAGTACCTTCAAAACTCTTTGCATTCCACAACGCCAAGATAAACAGTACTTCCTTCTCCTAGTGAGTGGAGTGGTGTTTATTATTTCCACCATTTAAAGTGTAACAACTACTTTCAAACGCTGGGTCAATTACAATGTATTATGATGCCTTGTC